GTGGTCTGAAAAAATGGCAAATGAAAATTAACACCAGCAAGTGCAGCATGCTTAATGTTGGAAGAACAAATACTGTCAATGTATACAGCAACAACATCAACCTAGAAAGTCGACTTGTGAAAAGAGAGACCTCGGGGTACTTATGGCGGACCTCGGCCTAAAAGCAGTGCGTTAATGTTCGAAATAAGGCCAGAGCAGAGTATTGGGTTTATATCTAGAAGTGTAAATAATAAGAAGTGCAGAGATCTTATTGCAACTATATCTTGCTGATCGAGCCGCACCTCGATTATGCGGTTCCAGTTCTGGTGCTTATATTATAAGAATGGATATAAATTCACTAGAAGTCGGTGCAGCGAAGAATGACGAAAATGATTCCGGGACTTAGAAGCAACTTCCATATCAGGATGGGTTAAGAAACTAAACTGCATTTTCCCAGAAAGACGAAGAGTGCGGGAGATATGATAAAGTATTCAAGTGGGTAGAAAAGGAATCAATAAAGGTGATATGAATAAAGTTCTTGCCAATATCCGGAGCAGGATAGGACTCAAACAACGGATTCAAGTTGGATAAGTTTAAGTTTAGTTTAGGAGATAGGAAGGAACTGGTTCACAAATAGGGTGGTGGACGAAGTGGGACAAAACGCTTAACTTTAGTAGTAAGTGCTGGAACGCTGGAAAGGATTTCAAGGAGGCTGGGCGTAGATTCATGGATGATGGGGAAGTGGTAGTAACTCTGTACACAGGAGATGACCGACAACGCCTCCAACAGCTTCGTGTGTGTGCAGGATCAGGTGTTCGTGTCCTCTGAGACCTGTTACCTTAGGAGGGTCGACCCAAACACTCTCGACACCAAGGAGAAGGTAAGTCCACACCCCCAACGATATGGTAGGTCAGGCAGGTAAGGTTAAGGCAGGTAAGGTAGGTAGGTAGGTAGGTCGGGTGGACAAGGCTGGTTGGTAGGTAAGGTAGGTCACACTACCACCCCAAGGTAAGCAACAAGTGCAGATCATCTTACCTCACAGTAGGTCACACCCTGTCCTGACCCCCCACCCCCCGTGACGTCAAATCCCCCAAAAAATACAGGGTGATCGAATGAAAAATCCCCATGTACCTACGATACTTAATTAACAATACAGCTTTCTACCTGGCTCAACTTACGGCAAATAGGTATAAAAAAAATCTAGTGTCAATTAACGCAGGTACACAGGGAGTTTTGGTTCACTCTGTATTTCTTAAACTTTTCCACCACACTGTTGAGTTAGTAGTTAAGATTTAGCATAGGTAGATTAATTATTGAGAGAGAGAGAGAGAGAGAGAGAGAGAGAGAGAGATTATCATAAAAAAAACACCTCATTCCTGTTAAAAAAATATTTATTATTGTTTTCGTCTTCAGGTGGATCTGAACAAGCTGATGAGTGTGAACTTCGCTTCCTCACATCCTATGACGGATTCCACCGGCACCACGTACAACCTAGGGTGTTCCTTCCTCAGTGGTCCTAAGTACAACATCGTCCGGATACCTCCCTCTAAGGACAGCAACCTCAGTGGTACGTGGGACAGCTTGAGTACGTGGGCGTGTAAAAGATGAGTACGTGGGTAATGGTGGGTTATGTACTGTACGTGGTGATGTGATGTGGGCAGCTTGAGTGTTTGTACTTAAGTGTGTGTGTGTGGTGAATAACATCATAAGTACCACTATGAGTGACTGATATGGGTCTAATAAGCACCAGGTAAGTCCGTAAGATGGAACAATTAAATTAAGTAAAGTTGTTCATTTGTTTTACATTTCACCACATAAATAGGTCCCCCCCCCCTCTTATTCACGCTGGGGGTCTGTCGTAACCTCCACTCAGCTACCAGTCTCCCCTTACGGCCATCCCTCCCTCCTTCTCTCCCCCTAACACCCCCCCCCCCTCCCCTTAGCTCTCAATGTCTCCCTCAGTTGTTTAGAGAGAGAGCCAGTGTCGTATATGTCTCTCTCATCTGGGTCTTGTTAATCCCGGGTTTTGTTGTGGGGTGAGGTTGCCCGGTGTGTGTGGAGGGGGGGGGGTGTGTCTTCCTTCTCTGTAGTTATCGGTTGTGTGTTTTTTCTTCTTTATTTACTTCTGTCTCTCCCATCTCTCTCTCTCAACCACATCTCTCCATCTTATTCTTTGATTTCCTCTTCTTCTCCCCATTTATCCTTATCATCTCTATCTTCCTCTTCTCCCTCTCCAGTATAACCCCCCCCAACACTCTCCTCACTGCACCATCACCCCCCCACCCCCACAGTCCCCCACAACACAACAGAGGTAAAGCTAAGTAACGTTACCTCACCTCTCACGTAGACACAACAGGTACTTTTCAATAAGTACTAACACCATCCACCAAGACGTTACGACCAGAGAAACAAGTTGGATTCTATTTTTAATCTAAGCAACAGTGTTCAGAGGTCCTTGTTTATGTTAAGAAGTTGTATTACATTATTTTCTATTCTAAGTAAATTTTCGGGAGTCCTTAATTAATCCTGTCGGTGTACAAAACAGTCCCCCACACACAAAACAGTCCCCACACAAAACAGTCCCCCACACAAAAACACACACAAAACAGTCCCCCCCCCACACACAAAACAGTTTATTCCTTTAATATTAGTTTTCTAGCATAAAATTAAGAACAACTCAACAAACTAGTTAATTTCTTCAGAAGGAAACCGAACCTAAGGATGTAAAATAAATATACTGTTAGCTGTATGGCGCATTAAACAAAAGTAAATATACATTATCTGTCCCTGAAAATATAGTTTGCATTTGTCGTATAGAAATACTGTGTTGCACGGAAAATTACATGAACATTAACGTCATCTAATATTAACAAAAATAAATACATTTGTACTGCATCTACACCTGAATTCTTTTTAACCATGTACTGTAAATATGTGAACCTTACCTCCACCTGAAAATCAATAACTACACTACCTCCATAAACAACATTTTAGGCGTTAATTATACTTTTAACTAAACCTAGTCATTGTACTCTAACCTAACCTAACATTGCTACAAGCATTGATTTATCTCAGTACCTGGTATTATCACCGCTAGGTTTCCAGTGCTAAAGGGTCAGCAGAGTTAGTGAGACCGGCAATAAGAAATATGCTTCCGGTAAAAGCAAGACTCAGGAATCATTTTTTTTATGCTCTGTAAATATTTTATTAGGGATTATCAATCAATTCCTGGGACTATTTTTAACTTTGGATGAGCATATTACAATATCTTCTCTAATATTATATTATCTTACATCTGTCTAACTGTCCCCTATAATAGTGATATAGGTATTTTATATGTGTAAAATATAATGATATCTTCCATGTGTGAGACAAACATAAAGTGTACTTACCTTGTTCTGATGTCTCAACCTGTAAAAACAAAAGCCATTGTTAGATAAAAGGATTTATTAAGTCATCAACTCTTGCCCCACAAAAAGCTCCCAGCATGAAAATATTTGAAGGATTAAGTTAGTTGTTCCCTGGACCACATTTCGGCTACCAGTGACTTCCATCCCTGAAAATGTTATCCATTTCTCATATATGACACTGAAAAATCATCAATCCCAACAATCCACTAATTTAATTATTAATGATACTAATTGATTAACGTCCATTCATCAGCTATCAAAGACCTTCACTCTTGTAAATATCATAAACTCAAAATTGACACATTGTTGAGGTATGATTATTCACTCGTTATAAACAACTAGTCAACTGTCTCCAGAACTAAACATTTGAACATTTCAGTGAACATAGGAAGGAGGGGAGGAGGTGGGGGGAGGGGGGTGGAGGGGCAGATATAGTCACCTCCACAAACTGTCAACACCCGTGAGATATCCAGGATTTTGTCTGGTGGGGAAAAAAAAAATCCCCCAAACATTCATACATTTCCCTCTATAATTCAGTCTGTCCCTAGCCTCTCCTCTCCCTCCTCAAAAGTCTACAGACAGACAAACACACACGTAGATGATATATGTTACAGTCTGCCTCACTATGAAGAAATTATTTTTAAGTCTGTGGCATTTTTACGATTTTGGTAGTCAAGAGAGTTTTAATTTGGTGTGCAATTCTATGATTTCGGCGGTGAATGAGTTCAGTAAATCAAATTGGATTCTATCTTTAAGCACCCAGACCTGATCAAAGCAACGGTGTTCGCAAGTCTATGTATAATCTGGCTTACTGCAGGTGTGGTGGTGCTGCAGGTGTGGTGGTGCTGCAGGTGTGGTGGTGCTGTAGGTGTGGTGGTGCTGGAGGTGTGGTGGTGCTGCAGGTGTGGTGGT